CTGTAGTGAAGCTGACTTGTGGGTGTTAAGAATAATTTTTCATTCGTTGATTTTAAAAGAGAAAAAATATTAGAAATAATAGAAAATCAAACATTATTTTGTGCTTTTAAAGGACTAATAAAATAAAATAAAATTTATATAAAATATTTTAATAAAAAATCTTTCAATTCCAATCTTTCAGCTAAAGTTAAGAACAAGAGAGCCAAGACGGTGGATAATGACCGAGACTGTCGCGTGAAGAGATAAAGGGTCCATTGTTTGGAGTGAAACTGCCATTAAAAAACCTGGTTAATGCTGGAAACACAGCTATACTTCTATCTTTAAGAGATTTACTTACAAAAATTTCCAAAGGCATTTTGTAGAAAGCGGAACGAGCGGAACCATAAATGATCAGCGCTAACCATCGAATTAGCCAAATCACTGAATTGTAATCGATGTGATAAGATTGTTTTTCATCATGTCAAATATGATAAGCATCCTATGAAGATTGTAATTTACCAGCGAAGAATACGATTTTAAATTATACGATAATTATTAGCTTAAATCCGCTGACTTTTAAAGAAAGTCAGTGAATTCGAATGAAATCTGGAAAAATTATGAAATCCGCATCTATTCTGTTTGATTAATTTTTCTATGTGATATTACTAGGTGCAGAATTTAATATTTTGCTTAGTACTTTCTTAATTCCGCCATTAATTTCGAAGTGAATTCGTAGAATAGAGTAAACATTAAAATAAATTCAATAATACTTAGAATAACTGAATGGTTTTTGATTAAATCACTTATCACCATTTTATATTGGTACTAAGAAAAAATATTGCCAGCAGTTCGCTAATTCATTAAAAGTTCAGTAATTTCTAAAATTGCAGATTAAATCATTAAAAGGAATAAATTGCATATAAACTTACAAAATTTTTCCTTCTTTCTTATTCATATAAATTAATGTGGAAAAAGCAATTTAACGAATGCCACTTAAAAGAAGCTATTTTAAGAAAGAATATTATGAAGATTCGGTACCAAAGAAAGAGACCTCTTTCATTTTCAAATAAATCAACTAATAAATGATCTCATTTCTATTGTATTAATGGCATTTCATAAGGATTTAAAGTGCTTATTAAGTCATTGTTAAAAGTGACATTTGGCCAAGGGTAACAATTTTTAAGCCAATAAAATAGACATTTTGTCTAACGGCTCTTCTTAATGATGTGTAGTGTAGTTTAAAATACAAATAAAAAATAATGATAACTGACCATTTCTTGCATTTTTTTTTGATGTTAACGATTAAGTGATCAATTTATACTGATGAATGGCATAATGGAATAATGGAATAATAGCGTTGAAGCAATAATGATTAACGCTTTTCGACTGTACTGATCATTTGCATGAAATATTCATGAATGGTAGATAATGTTTACTGTAGGAGCCTTTGAAAAAAATTTGCGGCATTATTTTAGCGGAATGTCACGAAGAGACAAAGAAAATCCACGGATAATTTAAAAGAGAAATTAATGATTAAAGTAACCATTGAGCGGAAATCCATCAGTTAGTTCCTCGTTTTCAAATTAGTATTTCCCTATGGAATTCTAATTTCAGAATGATCATTTAATGGGAAATTATGATACAAATAAAATGTCAAAAATTTTTTGTAATAACAATGGAAACAAGATTTCAATTTCGAGGCGGTTTATTACGACTTCTGAAATTTCAAATAACCTTATTTTTTATTGTTTTGTGCATACCATTTCTCCTAATAAACCCGCTCCAATAGCTTGTTATTGGTACGTTTAGAAATTTCGGCTCTAAAATCACTTGTGGAAGATTAGCCAATACTTAGATTACTTCTGCCGAAGAAACGACGATCCGTTCTCCTTTTACAGAGGCTTTCTGGCCATAGAATCATTGAGACAAAAGGTTGAAATGAAGTTGTATTTATAAAAATACACAAATATTAATCAAAATATTATCAGTTGATGATGGTTGAATCGAAAGAAATTCAATCTCAAAAATTAATCAAAATTTTGACAGTTGTTTGAAATAAAACCTATAAAATTGATGACATCTGATAAGCGTGCATGATACATTAACGAGTCTAATAATTGAGTTATGCATATCAAAGATGAATACCGTCAATTTTGCGGCATTCTTTAGTAAAATGCCGCAAGTGTGTCGCAGTACATCATAATAAATTCCATCTCCTCATTTTATAGCCTATTTCCAAATAATCGTACCAGAAATTTCATCACCAACGATCATAAAATATTATGGATTGTGATGAATATGATCAAGGTCGATTGATCAACGCGCTTCTCTCAATAATTATATCAAATGATGTTTAAAATATAAGCTTAATTATTCGGTTAGTTAAGGGATTGTATTATTTTAATTTTTTTAATGCATAATTCAGCATTACAAATCACCGAGCGGTGCTGGCAATCCACTTGTACTTCCATCGTCGAATGGAGACCATATTAGTAACAAGCGGTAACGCTACCCAGAGACGGAGAGCACTTACAGTATAAATAAATATTTTGGCTAAATATGCCCGGATGTCGTCAAAATCCATTTTGCTTATAGCATTTTGCAACTTCTTCTTCGCATGTACCATTTCTGGACAGTACATACAGTAACAAGAGAATGGCTATTGCTCAAATTATTTGAAACGTCCAAGTTCGATCTTGCAGGAGTAAATATATTATTGAAAAAACAATGGCAACCCCGTTGTGCGCCTATTCCCAAATGAAAAAAATTTCTTATCACTTGTAGAGGCAACCCAACAAGAAATGATGAGCGTTGACCACTTAATCCTATCTATTACGAAGAATTATATTGGATCTCATACTGTACTGTATGGAATCATAAAACCATACATCTTAGAAATGTTAAAATGGCAACTGTGAAATATTTCGACTGATAAAAAATTTGCCTATCAGAAATTTTGTGGTATAATAAGCTAATTGACAGACTAGCACTCATCATTTCTTATTAGGTTCGCTTTTCTCGTTTTTGATTTTTCCTTAGCCAATGCTTAAATGGTCGGCTTTTCTGCGAATTTGTTACCAGTTAACAGATGCCAAATATCACCAAACCATAAGTTTTGAAGTGAACTATGCCTAGATTACCTCCCACATAAATCTTTGCCAAATATTACACTGTGAATGAAATCAAGGAAATTTCTTCTTTTTCTAATAACTCACACCACTACTGGTTAGGTTGGCTCCTCTGGCTATAAACACAAGACATCTCCAAGTTGTTTGGTCTAAGGCCAGTGACAATAAGAAAAGCCATTCTTTTCCATCGTCTAAGTCCATGTACTGCTGGTCCAGCCATACAATCAAAAATTTTCCTGACTGTGTCAGTCCAGGCCTTCATTGGTCTATCTCGACCAAGGAAATTTAAGAAAAAGAAAACCCTTTTTCTATACTTCATCACAGTAAACCTCGTCAACAGCAACTTACAACTTAAAAATCCCTATATCTCCTATGATGTCCTTCCCTTTCCTATTTAAGCCTTTTCAATCCTCTATATTAGATTTTTTAAAGACTCCATTAAACTCTAAAATATTTCTTAAACCCCTGCTGCTTGCTTTCTATCTGAAAACTTCGCCCCATTCATACTTCTCTAATATTGGCTCAAAAGCCTCTTTCAAAACCCTCTCCAACTCAGTTATACCATTCTAACGATCTTAAATTTCGTTACACTTTCTGGCATCTTCAGTCCGTTATACAGCGAATTCACTTAGTAAAATGATATAAATGTTCCCTGGTGGTGAGGCCGATCCACTTGTATTTCTATCGCAAAAGGACTCTTTGGCATATTTGCCTAATCCAATAAGCCAGAAATATATGTGCTTTTCGGTTTTAAATTATTTGTTTCAAATTTTTCACCACAAAAACCAATATTTTAAAAGCCTCTCCACCACATCCCTTTAGTATCGTCCATTAATCTTGTTCCATTAATGAAAACGCTATCAAATCCCGTACGCTCTGTATTACCTCACCTTAGCCTCATGAACCACCATTATAATCAATTATTCTTTCAGACCAACATATACCTCTCCCAATCTTTTTTTTCTCACCATTACTGGTTAAACTCGTTCTGCTGGCTTTTCACTGGAAAAATATGTCACGGAGTCCCCTAGCGATAGAAGTACAGGTGAGCCGTCAGCGTCACCCATATTTTTGGACAAGTGTTTACTCCTAGGAAAGAGCCTCTCTCCCAATTAAGCAGCAACCCACTGAGCCATTCTATCCCAAAGCTCTTATACACCTTTCACCATTATATCTCATTAATATCATTTAACTCTACTCAACCTTTGCCTTACTTTGTCACAATCCTTATTCATGCCGTTTCGCTTTAACTTCCTCTCAAATCCCCATTTTATCCTCTTAAACTCTTTTTCACGTTGTGAAGAGCCCCTTAAATTTTCTTGCACTACTTGTCTCACTGTTCCCACATGTCCCACAATTCACCGTGACTTGATAAACCAGAACACCAATCTTCAAGTTATTCATCCAATCTGGACCACACGAGTCCGCAGCCTAACTCGCAGCTGCAGCTTCGGCTGCTTCCTTTTGTAGTTCTAATATCTCATGTGGGAAAAATTAATGTATCATCGGTCGGTGTATAGTTTATGCGGGATGCTGCATTGGTTAAGGGTGTCACCAAGTTTGTCACCTTTACATATTTCAGGTTCTTTACTATAATTTTATTCTTTTGGCAACTTGAGTATTTTCCACTACTTCTCAATTATTTGCTATCAATTAAAATGCTATTATTTAGTTGTAGAAAATGATATCCATTTACCGGAATGGCTTGGAAGTAGGATTAGTGGTTTGCCCGCTACACGACACGGCTCCAATGATTTTGATCTTTTCTAAATATTCATTTCAAATTTGAAGACTTTTTCTTAGAATTATTTTTTAAAAATATTTCTTTTAAAACTTTTCTATTTTTTGAATTTCTTTTATTTTTTCCCAATTTCTTAAAATCTGAAATTACTTGCTGTTTTATTGATTTTAGAGCGCTTCAATGCGTATCGCTCGTGTATTGGGAAAATCGCAAGGAAAACCTATCTGCGTCGCTACCCGGTCACTGTGCGTTTTTGATTTTTGTATTCTTATTACTTGCATAGCTGTTGAATTTTTATTTCGTGAGCAAAGCGGCGAAATTCCTCGGAATTTTTTAGATTATGAAACCAGATGGTTCAACGATTGAAATTCGGCTAGACGAGCCACTGCATTTCGTGCAACAGCCTATTGATTTGAAATTATTAACGAAAGAAGAGCGTCGAGTGCGGCTCGCTGCTCGCAAACCAAAAGTTAAAGTGATTGAGGAGGTTATTTCTATTTTTTGTACATTTAGTTGTCAAAGTTTAATAATATTATTTAAATATTATTTTAAAGGAAAAGAAATAGTTAAAATTGGCTTTAGAAATAGCTAAAATTGGCTTTTTGTAAATTCATGCCCGGTTGAGGAAGTGCCCGATTTCAAATACCTTGGGTCCACTCTAATACCAAATGGACAGGCAAAAGATGATATTACAACTCGGGTCACGGAAGCTAGAAATGCGTTCTTCCGGCTGACGAAACCTTTATGGAATCGTCGTGAAATCACCATAAAAATAAAAGTCTGCATCTATATTGCCGTGATCCGTTCGATCTTACTATATGGTTCTGAGGCTTGGCCAATGAGAGTGGAGGATATTAAAAAATTGTCTGCCTTTGACCACTCTTGTCCAAAGACCATATCCGGATCCGTCGAGCGGATAAAATATCACAAGATCGCATCCATCTTCATTCAAATACCACTTGCATAAATAATGCGCCGCCTTCGCTGGTTAGAGCACATTCTCCGTCGTCTAGCACAGGAGTTGACACATATTTTGTTATTTGCTATAAGTTTGATGGTTGGCGTCAAAAGCGAGGTGGGTCAATCAAGACCTAGGCTGATATGGTAAGAAAAGATTTTGAACGTATGGGTGGACCAGCAATATATGGACTTAGACGATGGAAAAAAAATGACTTCCATTACTGTCGACGATGGTATCAGATCGCGCCGCTTGGAAGGGTCTTGCTCTTGTAGCCAGTCTAACCAGTAATGGTGAGAAGAAAAAAGTTAAAATTGGTATTTAAATGAATGGAAAGTGGTTTAAATAGAAAATTGGTTTTTCAGATTAATTTCGAGTTTTACAAATATTTATATTACAAATATTTTTGCTATTTTTTTCAGGAAATTATTGATGATAATTTTAATGTCGATAATTATGCCAATTTTTGGAAATCGACAGCAAAGAACTCATGAAAATTAATTTGCTGGAAATTATGAGAATATTTTTTTCTGTGACTGTGAAATTTTTATCTAATTATATGAATCTGTGTTCTTTTAAAGTGCCATATGCTAAGCGTCAAGTGTAAAGCATCATGTCAAAGTTCTTTCTTTTTTTTTTTATTTTTCAAAGATTCCGTCTATATTTATTTTAAATTATTTAATTTCTACTAATCTCGATTACAAAATTTTTTATTTGATTAGTGAAGCATCTTTTTGATTATTTAATTGAGAATAGTTTTACAATACTTTGTAATTAAGTGAAGTGAATTAAATATCGATATTGATTGGAATTCGATAAATTTTTTTCGATCTTTATCTTTTTAAATATTTGAAAATTGTTAAATTATTTAATCATATTATTTATATTATTTATTATTTATATTTTCTTTATATTGTTGTTTGATTTGGCTGCTTATTGGCTATATAAGGGTGTAATAATTCTTTTCACGAAAGAGCTATTCGGAGAGATAGATAGGAATAAGTTTCTGGTAAACTTTCAATGATTTTCATTTTAAGGCTATGTCACTAAAGCAGTATCATAAAAAAAATCAAACATAATTATTTTTTTTTATAATTCATTCAAATTGTTCTTGCATGTTTCCGAAGGGAGAGAATGGATGACTCAGTTCCGATGTATTCAATTTTGTTGCCGACATATAATGAAGTGGAAAATTTACCGATTTGTATTTGGCTTATTGAGAAATATATGGCTGAAACAAATTTCACGTATGAAGTTTGTATTTTTTTTAAATATAATATATAATATATAATTTCGATTCTCCGCAGGAATAAATCTGTACAAAAATGCGGGTGATACTGGCGACTCACTTGTATTTCTATCGCCAAGGACTCGCTGGCATATTGCCCAATGCGACAAGCCAGTGGAGCGAGTTTAACCAGTAATGATGAGGAATCTTAAAAAAAATATAATATATAATACTCCCTAGTTCAATTTATAATGACTGGAAAATTTCATATATTTGAGCAATGCGAAATGAGTTACTAAATTTTAAATATGCATAAATGCAAATGCATTTAAAAAATTTATGCATTTAAAAATCTAGCCAACGGCAAGGGAATTTGTAAAAAATTTGTAAAATTTGGATGAATTCATATTGGTGATTAGTTTCTAGAAATTGGCATTCTCTTAACGCTTATTCAAATCTTGTCGCACTTTTCACATTCGCTGATTCCTCATAATTCTCATTCCATTTGCCTACAAACGGAAATTGTTTAAGGTAGCGTTACTATTGGGTTTCAAAAGAACAAATCAGAGGCGTTTAACGTTATTAAAGGGGATTTTGAAAATATTGCTGGTTTTAAGGGGTGTCAACTCAGGATCAAGGTGACTCTTTGATAGATTTTGTGGAATATTAATGGATTTCAATAAAAAAGTAAATTTGGCAACATTTTATGGTACTGTAGAGATTGTGATGGATTTAAGGTAATATAAAGGAATTGAACGAAATGCTACCCTTTTGGCAAAATAATATGATGGGATGGTACCTTATAATATCCTCCACTTCAGGACATTTTCTTGATGTAGTAGTCCACTGCTTATAAACCAGCATAAAATAGCCTGCTTATTTTGTAAATGGGGGCAATAAAATATGGCAGATTTTAATGGAGCATTAAAGAAGCAATGGGTTTTCGGTTTTTGCATTATCTACGAGTTTACTGCCAAAGTGGGGAAAAATGCTATTTCGGAGACTGCTAACTAATATAAATTATTAATAAATATATTGATAGTTTTCAGTTATCATAAACAAATTTATCTCAAGTTATTAATTTTTTTTTTCTTATTCTAATAGAGCTATTTGGTTTGATTGATTCCATTGGTTTGGTTTCTAAGATAAGGGTTTTTGCCAGAGGCTTAAAGGAATTCGGCCCACAGCATTCTGCTGGTTTTTCCATCGGGATCGAATCATTGCTACTTATCTCTTGCCAAGATAACATAAGAATCGATCTCAGATTTTATAATTTCTTTGTGAATGATTTGAGGTTTTATTTTTTTTTATTAATTATTCTATATAATTATTAATTAAAGATTATAATTATTGATGACAATAGTCCGGACGGAACACTACAGATTGCTAAGAAACTGCAAGACGAATATGGTAGTAATAAAGTGATTTTACGTCCACGACCTGGCAAATTAGGTTTGTTGTAATATTTTCGGCATTAAATTTTATAATTTATAATAAATTTTAGGATATAATTTTTTCGTTATTAATTTGATTAATTTTTCAAAATATTTTCGATTTTCAATAAAATTTAATATTTATGGCATCTTTAGGTTTGGGGACAGCTTATATACACGGTTTGGAATCGGCACGCGGTGAATTTATTATATTGATGGACGCTGATCTGTCACACCATCCAAAATTTATTCCAGAAATGATTTCTTTGCAGAAACGAGAGAATGTTTGTTAAAAAATTGATTTTCTCTTATATTAAGTTTTAATTATTTTGCAGGAACATTTAATTCGTTTTTTCATTGAATAATGAAGACAAAACCAGTTTCGTGTCTACAAGTTAAATCGAATAAATTTCTGTACGCCGAGGCTTCAGGTGTCATTTTCACTTGGAGGACTGGCGTATCCTCAGCTGCCATCCGAATTTCACACTTAATTTCTGTGGAAGGAAACGAGTTTAGTCCATGCTGGTCGTTTTCAAACGAAGCAACATCTGACTTTACCATTCAAAGAAATTTTGCACTTATTCTTAAAAAGATTGTTTACAGTGTGATATTGTTACCGGAACACGCTATGCTTTGAATGGTGGAGTTTCTGGCTGGGATTTCAAGAGGAAACTTATTAGTCGAGGAGCCAATTTTTTAGCTCAGGTATGTTTGCAATTATTGAGTCCATATTCAACCTATCATATAATTGCTGTACAATACGAATTTGTTGCTTTTATGCCATGTTTTTTTTTTCAAAGTTCGAGATTTCAGAACTTTCCGTCTTTTTAAATAGCTCTTAACAGTAAAAGTTCAGTTTTTGCTCCGTCCAAATGTTTCTGATTTAACTGGATCATTCCGTCTTTACCGAAAAGGCGTACTGGCTAGGCTGATTGTTTCAAGCGCCTCCAAAGGATATGTATTCCAAGTTAGTGTTTCCTTGATAAATGATCTAAAAATTGAGGAGTCCACGGTGCAGAAAAGAATCCATTTAACAATCTACATTCCAGATGGAAATGATGTTTCGCGCCAGAAAACTTGGCTATACAATCGCCGAAATTCCAATTACTTTTGTTGACCGTTTTTATGGTGAATCAAAATTAGGTGGACAAGAAATAATTGATTATCTAAAAGGTCTTATTTACCTTTTCTTTGTTTGGTGATATTTGAATGTTATTTGTTTCTTCTTCTAACAACATGCACCATTAGTGATTAAGCTGGCTTTGAGGGATATAACGGTGATGTCTCTCCAAGCCACTTGACCCAATATAATTTCACTTTAATCTACCATATGATTAGGGAAATATTTATTTAAAACCAAATAATTTAATTTATTAAAATATATTAAAATATATATATAATAATGTATATGTATTTATTTTGATTTTATTTTAGAATTTAATTATTTTATTTAATTTATTTATTTAAATTTATTTTGAAAAAAGATTAATTATTTTATTGTTCTGTTCTGCTGCTTTGATGAATTACATCAGAATAAAAAATAAAAATTTCAATAATTTCAATAATTTTTTAAAAATACAAATTATTTTTACATTTAAAGAAATATTAATTTTACAATAAAAATTGCTTTAAAAACTGTGATGCATGAAAAAAATTTCCGAGTATAAATGGATTTTTTTTCCATTAAATTATTTACACGTTTATTTTCCATAAAATTCGATTGTTTAAATTTTCTAAAATTATTTTCAAAATATATTTTAAAAATAATACTGCAGTCAATGGTCGTAAAAAAAACAAGAAAACAGAGATCAACGAATGACAAAAATAATAAAACCAAAGCAAATTAATGTTTGAACTAGAAGAACTAATATTTAGATGATTACAAAGTCATAATAGCACGTTATCAAAAATTTTAAAATAATTATTAACGAAAATATTCTTTCGCATTATTCACAGAAATATTTACATTATTACCAAATATTTTATCTGAAATTCGTCAAATCTATTATTCCAAAAATTTTTTATAAAATAATTTAATTCTATAAAATTATTATAAAATAAAAAATTAATAAATAAATGCAATTTTTTTAAATAAAACAGAAATGCTGGTAAAAAAATAAAAAGAATTAAAGAGAATTAACCTCTTGAAGTCAGTTTTTCAGTTTAGTTAGAATTTAAAGATGAAACTGCTGAATCTTCTTCGTTACCTGAATCTGATTCTGTTTCCATTGCTCCTATATTCATTAAAATCAATTAGTTTTACGGTTAAAATGATTAAAATAATAGCTACGATATTTAATATTTGATAATCGACTTCTAATATCTCATTTCCTTTCCCTTAATTTTTCGATTATAGATCGTTTATATAAATTCAATTGTTTATAAACCCAATTTATTAACAAATAAGCGGTGGAAATAAAAAAAGGGAAATATGAATTTGTAAAATAAAAATAATGGAGAGTACGTTTTATCTACTAAACTGTCTTTTAAAAAAACGCTATTTATTTTAATGTTGAATAAAAGAAAGTAAAAAGTAATACATATATATAAAAGGTATATATATTGAGGAATCAATTCATCTAATTATAATATGTCATTGGAAAAGCCAAAATTTTTTTTCGAGCATATATGCGCTGACAAAGGCAACAAGGCAGACTTGAATAATCGAAAAGAAAATATTTAGTTGATAAAACAAACAAACGCATAATGAAATGAACAGACCTCAAGTCTTGCAAGGGTGTTAGGGAAGTACGAAGGAATTTAAGGAAATGTTGAAGGAGTATAGCGCGATTTTGTAACTGTGGCCACGATTTCGAACATACGGGCCACTCTTCCTGAATATACTAACGTGGCAAATTGTTAGATATATATTATTTAAAAATTTTAACCTTTTCGAAAATTCCGATTCGTTGAAATATTTTCATTTTCATTAATCGTTCCGTTAGGCTGTTTTAAAGAAATTTCTTCTTTTCCAATCAAATTTCCATTCTGAAACGGTGATAGCAAAATTTAAATTTTAAACTTTTTAAATTTTTATGAAATTATAAAATTATGGAATTATTTAAAATTACCTTAAATTCGACGTTTCCTTGGGACAAATTGTCAAATGTTGTGCCTTCTTCTTGTTCATTTTCCAAATACAAAAAATGTATTATCGGCCATACCATATAAATTATAACACGAATGAGGAAATATAACAGAAAAAATAGCAATCGACCGAATAAGTATAAAGAAGGACAAATTATAAATAATACGATAAAAATACACTCGACGGTTGGAAGATATTCAATAGGGGATGATGGAGGTGACATTGTACTGAAATTTCATTGTTTTAAATTCGAATTCAAAATTGCTGAATCATCCAAAATTAAAAGACCATTTTCCATTCAAAGTATTTGTACCCAAGATAAATATCGAGGGGACTCTTTGCACGCCTGTCTTAGCCGTATTGGCTTATGGACGTTGCAAGCTAAGCGGTCACTGTCCACACCCTTCCTCGTGTGGATATCGCTTACTTGTCGGAGATGTTCTGTCTTCCTTATTTCGAATCTCGGATAATTATTAATTCTGAGTCGGAGAAGAGATACTGGCTGTATCACTGTGGTGCTTTGGATAACTCGGGGCAAAATGGCATAGCGATTGTCTGACAAAGCCCATCCCGCTTTGATTGGGTGGAAACCGGTAAGCGACCGTATGGCCTATGCCATTATGCCCGTTTTAAGGGTAAGTTCTGCAGTATCCTCGGTCATCAGTGTCTATGCTCCAATTTTGTCGGCTGATGACCGTGATAAAGTTCTATGCAGAAATTCAATTGTTAATAAAGTCTTTACCAAAATATGACATGGTTATAGTCTAGGGAGATTGGAATGCGCTCGTAGATCATAATGCAGCTGCAATGACTTCAACAATTGGCTAATATGGCATCGAAGACTGGTGCACCAATGGGAAACGCCTTCTTCATTATGCCAAAGAGCATTTCATGCTTTTATTACTAATACTTGCCACCGGCATCGTAGAAAACATCTAGTCACGTGGAATTCCCCGGATAACCAACCCTTCAACCAGACTGACTTAGTCAGTCACCGTTGGAAGAATTCCGTAGAGACAGTTGTTCCTCCCACGGCGCTGAAACTGGCAATGTTCATGAATCTGACCACGTTACGTCTCGAGCCAAGATCCGCATAAAACTGATAACTCGCAGAAAACAGATCCTCCAAGATCCTTCAGCTAAAAAATTCGGCAGCAGTGAGCGCATTTGAATTATTGAAGCATCTCAGTGATACAAATATCAATGATTTTCCTGGAATGGCAAATGAATACTGGTCTAAAGGAATATCTCCGAAAGTCAGCCACTTCCACATACTAGTAGGAGATGTGCTAGTTGGGTATCGTAAACAACTGTCTAATTCTCTGAAAAAACACGAATGTCTGATTACCGGATGCTTTGAAGACACTATTGGAGTGGCATGGCCTCAAGAATGAAGACGGCGGCTCGTTTAGGCCGTAATAGGAAACTATTCTGCCTTCATAAAGCAACTACAATTCGGTCAATGAAATGGTAAGGGATGCAATGGCATACAAATTAAAAGTATTAAGGATTGCCTCATAAGATGGAAAGAATTCTTTAAGGCCAAATTTAACCATGAAACGCCATCCCCTGATATAACTGATACCATATGGTTCGTTGAACCATATGCTTGCAAATGCGAGCCCCCGATAGAAGAACAAATAATATCCGTTATCCATAAGTTTAAGGCAAGTAAGACTCCGAAAGAAGATGGTCTTCGGGCTGAACTCTTTAAATGTGCTCCATCATCCTTCATAATAACAACTGCACTCTCTGGTATCAGAAAAAGAAATATTACGAGATGATTGGAGCAAAGCAATTTTGCTTCCAATTCTCAAGAAAGGTGATAGGACATACTGCGATCGAGGAAACAGCCTACTAGATATCCCCGCGAAAATTTTTGCTTCCCTTTTACTCAACAGACTTATAGAAGTACGAGGTGGCAGGATGCGCCCTAATCAAGCTGGATTCAGAACGGGGCGCGGTTGTGCTGACCGTTAAGAGTGTTAGAGCATCGCTTCAGATATTTGCAAACCACCGTTACGTGTTTCATCGACTTTGCGGCTGCTTTTGATTCAAATTATAGAGCGGCGCTTTAGGGGTAATGAAACGTGACGCGACGATGTTCCAGAGAAGATCATTCGACTCATAAGGGCATTTTATGAGCCTACGTTGGCGCAGGTCTGTGTATATAGGAAAGACAGTGTCCTTCGAAATAAGAACTGGTGTCCGTCAGGGCATAGTCGTTTCCCTACAGTATTCAACCATGCGATAGATTAGATAATGGACACCGCTTGTCGGCACTCAAGGGGTGCCCAAATCAGTCCAGAGCATCGTATCACAGATCTTGAATACGCTAATGATGTAGTCCATTTTGCTGACAGTTATGAAGAAATGTAAGGAATACTAAATAACTTAAGAAACTGTAGCAAGAATCGGACTCAGGATCAATGAATAAAACGACTTTTCGTTTTATATACAAGAAGCTGATAAAATACCTCTTTTTGTAAATTCATTGCTGGCTTAGGCTTAGACTTAGGCTTAGTAAGCTTTTTCTAAGTGGAAGTCAGATTCTGGCGTGGATTAGGGGAGTTCCTTCCTGAGCAGCCATTGCACTAATCTTTTTCTATTGTCGAACTAAACCCATCTTTTATGGCAAATCTGCATTAAATGAGTATTAAAACCGAAGCCAGCCATCCGAGAAAAAACCGTTATGTTATAACACCAGCAAAATAATAAATCTCCAAATGTATTCCGATTTAATGCTCAATCAATTTATGGGCTACCCAAGTTTTTTTTCTTCCCCATTGCAAGCAGACTGCATATGGTATTATATAAAACTCTTATTAAATCTGCATAACACTTTCTGGGATCAGCCTCCATCATTTCTTTCAAGGATTTATCTATAGACTTAAGAGCCACCGTCAACATAAGGTATCTTCAAGACCAATACACCGGAAATAATTTCAGAAAGCGATCTTGTGTTATTCTTTACATTGTTCGCCAAAATTGCACGAATAGAAAACCACTGCAAGTCAAATCTAATTTACCCCAATTACCAAATTACATAGAAAAAATCTGAAATCGTATTAAAATCCGTACACCAAAAACGGCAAGAACTTTTAGGATATTGATTATAATAAAGAATAAGAATAAAATAAAAAGAAAAAAACCTTAATTATGATCTTCTTTTATGAGAAAATGTATTGAAATCTTTCGTTTTGTTTTATTTTCAAAAATATATTCGGTATGTTTTATAAAAAATAATGCAATTATACCATACAATAAACATGGAATCCCTTAAATTACGATAAAAACAAAAATAAATAAATTCATTCCTTATGAAATTCTTCCCCAACCACCCCCCCCCTCCCCCGTGAGAGGTAAGGATCATCTATCTCGAGTTCCCTATCTGAGGCTGGGGAACTAAAGATTCTGCGCAGTATCTTAGCTGTTCCAAATCTGCTGAAGCCACTTTACTAGTTTAGGAGTCGCGGTTCCAAGTGCTCTAATCACTACTTTATCACTACTTTGGTCTTTACTTTCCACATCTTCTCTGGTTTCTCTTTCAGTTTTTAGTTCTATTTTTATTTCTCATATTCCTTCTTTTTGACGTTCCTGTCGCTTGAAATATGTTTAATTTTAAGTTATATTACAATTATATTCCCTTTTTTAAGATAAAAAAAGGCGAAAAAAGGATTAAAAAACTCAGCGATTGTGGTCTTTTCGTAATTTTTCAATTCTTTTCTATAACCTCAGCTCGTGGAATCAGCTATGATTACTTAATGGTCAAAACTTGTCGACTCGAACTCGTCTGCCTCACTGGCAGATAAAGAAATTGAGGATCCACACATTTTCTCTGGGCAAACTTATTATCCCCTTTTTGGTGCCTTCTCGAACCACATTATGCAACTCAACGAATCCTGTATGATTTCGTTGTACGTCCGCGAAAAAAACTGGAAACTCCATTGTTTTCTTAGCATCCATCTCATAATATTGTTCCAAACTTTCTTTCACTTTATTCACTTTACTTTTCTCCTCATTCCAGTGAATCTTCGTATTCCTTTTCATTTTTCCTCAACATCCCATCAAAACCACTCTTTTCTTCGCCTTCTCGAGCGCTCCTACATTTGCTTAAAATTTCCTACCTCTGAGAACTTCCCTATTATCACATAATTCTTTGACAGTCCAAAATCGCACTGTATAACTAAACCATCTAAACTCTCTCTCCCTTTCCTCGTGTTCCAACCTTGTTCCAAACTATTTATTTCGACAATTACTTGTTCAAATTCGACTTTTTATCGCATAATTATTATTGCCCACTCCTTTGGCCAACGGCTTTCGCAGCCCCGACAATCTTATAGTCAACATTCATTTCCAGTAGAGTTAAACCTTTCATCGGTCACTAAAAAACCTGCCTACTCTGGCGATTCACCCTCTCTTTGCCAGCGTCTCATCGAATGGTTCCCTCTTCAGCCAGTGCAGCGAATCTAATAAGAAATACGGAAACGCTAACCACAGCTGTTTTTCTTATCGATTTTTTACTGTTTAATTAAGTAAAAACATAGAAAAATAAACAAAAACATAAAAAACGAACCAAAATTTAAAACCGTTAAAAATTTGAAAAAATAATTCTCGAAAGTTAAATTTTTAAACGAATTCTTCGTGCAATGAAATTTTATAAATGGAAAGCAACCAATTCTGCAAGAAAATAATTTTCATTTCATTTAATTTAAATCTAAAAAAACACTTTTAAAAATATTTCCCCTCAGCGCAAACAAAAAAAAACAAATTCCCACAAAAAAATTCAAAATCATTTTTGAGGGACATTTTAAAATTCAACTCAAATGTTCGCCAATTTTTAAAAGTCAGCCGAGTGAATGTGAACGCAAAAGAATCGATATTACCGAATTCGAATGCAAATTTTCGGCGGAATAAAATTTTGATTTTGGAGATTATTGGCGATTTATCGTTTTATTATTATTATTATTGTTATTGTTAAATTAATTTTCGATGAAAGCGATATTAATAGAAACGAATTGAATAAATTATACAAATATAATTATAAGAATAATAATTAATAACAACAATTAAATTAATTATTATTATTTGATTAAATTAGTTTTTGAATTAGTTTCACCCATACGAAATTAAATTAATTTTTATTGCATTAATATATTTTTAATAAAAAACAATTTAAGCAAAAGTTAGTATAGTTTTTAAAAAAAGCTTTTATTAAAATGTTTTAATTTATTATAAATATTTTTTCGCTGAAAAAAGCTGAAATTATCGAAAATATATATATAAATTTATATGAATCAATAAAGATCTTCACGAAAAAATTGAAAAATTTTCAAAACAAGTATGAATCATCGCCGAAATAGTGCGAGAAAAATGAGGGTGCATGGGTGGGAGAGAGGTTGGAGAAATATCACGCGGAGATCGAGAGAAGTATATTAAAGATGGTAAATAAACAAAGATTTATCGACTGATTAAACGCTAAAAATATAAATAATAATATAAATAATAATGAACCTAAACAAAGAAAAAAAATTGGCGAACTTCTCAGAAATTATTAAAAAATAGTTAAAATTAGAATTTAAACAAAATAAAAATATTTAAATATTTTAAATAATGAAAAGCAAATTAATATAATTAATTAACATATAATTAATTAATAATATAAATTAATATTAATATAATTAATTAATATAAAAATTAATATTAATATCATATTAATATATTAATAAATTAATATAATATTAAATAATTATATTAATTTATAATATTAATATAAATACAAAATTAATATAAATTTTAAAAATATTTTAACGAATTTGGAAAAAAACCTTAAAATTTGATAATTATTTCCGTCAACATCGATATTAAAATATTTTTCGCTATAAAAATCATCCTGAACTTCTCTAAAAATTAATTGAATTAGATAGCTAGCAAATACCGCTTCCGACCATTTTTCTGGCTAGCCCAGCTCTATCGGCCATTGCCACCGGCGGTTGGGACTCGCTTGGCGTGCCCTGCAGGCTCAAAGGGGAGGCCAGTCTCAGCCTCCTTTATTTAAATTTTCACGAAAAAAGAAAAGAACAAACTTGTATGGGAGGAAAAACGACGTCCACGATGGATACGAACGACTTCTTATATAAATTTTTAATATATTCGATGATAACGGACGACAACGATAAGAACGATTCAAAAATTTTCGATACGGCAAAATTATCAAATAATAAACAAACATTTTTACTTTTATTTTGCTAAAATTTATAGTTAAAACATTTTTATATTTTTTTGCATATTAGAAGAAACTAATTTTTCGGTTAAAAAACTGAAAAAAAAATGATAAAACCGAAATTAATTAAATTACAGTTTACCTTTATAATTTTATAAAAATTCAAGAATCCTGCAATTTCATTTTAATAAATTCAATTTTTTTACAATAAACAATAAAATTTAAAATAAATGAAAATAAAAATGATTCTTTTCATTTGGCGCGAATTTTACAAAATGGAATTTATAAATTTTATTTCACAAAAAAAAATTAAATAAATTTATATAAATAAATTTATGGACAACCGTTGAATTTGAGCATTAAAAATTGTTTTAAAAAATAAAATGATATATTTAAAAAAATGATATATTTTTTAAAAAAAAGAAGGCATAAATAATAATAAAAATAAGGCAATCATCACAACTAACATTATTCACAACTATTTTAATAATTTATAATTATTTTTAATCAATTTTAGAAAATATGGATTAAAAGAGAGAAATAATATGCACCTAAATCTTTAAATTAATAATAATCCAATAAAATTATTCAAAATAAAAAAGAAAATTAAGTAGTTCTAGTAATTTCGCTCGATATGAACATCGTTATAAATAAAAGAATTAAGAAAAAGCAGAAAAAAATGGAATGGAAAAAGATTCATCATCAAATGAATCAAGATTCTAACAAAATATTGTAAAATATTTTAAAATAAACAAAGTAAATGAGAATTAATTTTTAATTAACTATTTTTAATTATATGTATATAATGGAAATCTAAATAAAGATAAATCTAAATATAAAGAAAGCAACAAGGCAACAAACAACTAAAACGTAGTTTATCGGTTTTTGTGATATTTCGGTTGATAATTTGTCGTAGTTGCTGCATTTCCAGTCATATTCTCTTTCAAGTAGTCAACAACGATATCTTCATCCGTATCATCACCACTCATTTCATCATTTTTACCAAACTTGATACCATTGCCAACAGGTGCAATAATTTCGTCACCACCAATTGTTGGTATGTCATCTGATGTTCCACTCCATTCTGATGAACGTAAATTTGATAAACGTTGTAATGTATTGCGTTGATTAGCTGGTTTAACTGTTATAATCAAGTTCTGAGCATTCGCCACCATCATATCTGTTACTTGGTCCAACGTTTTTCCTTGAACCTTAAATATAAATTAAATTTGAATTAATTAACAATTAAAATTGAATATATAACAAAAAATGTTTGCTAGCTGCATTGAATACCATGGTAAGAACATTTCAGACAGTTTCAAAGCTGGCTCCTGAACAGTCACATTTTTAATGATAAATCTGCTACAGGATTCCAAACTGTTCCGACTCGAGCTCGAATAGAACCTTCAACCGGACCCAATTTCTCCAATTTCAAAAAGTTAATAAAGAGAAGTTAATAAAAGAATCAGAAAACATGCCTCAATACCATTAACTTCGAGAACTTCATCATTAACTGCTAATAAGCCAGTTGAATCCGCCAATCCGCCTTCCACTAAACGACTTATAAATATTCCTTGGACTTTGGCGACACCTTGAGGAGTTACTCGAATTGATGTACCTTAATGAAATATAAAAACAAAGTAAAACCAAAAGTTAAAAAATAAAATTTTTAAAATAGAATTTTTAACTATCAAATTTTTGATTCATTTCAATCAATCATAAATATAAAAAAGATTATATAAACTGTCTGAAACCACATTTAGATAAGAACAAATAGCATTTTATTATTTAGATAAAAACAAATACCATCTCTTATATAAAATCCTAATGGCCGGTCGCTTCCATGTTTGCAAAGCCTCACACGACGATGTGCTTCTGGCACTATGTCAACGTCAATTATGGCAGAAACCTGTGACCATTAAAACTTTAATAATTCATAGGTGATAAATTCATTTAGTTTAAACTCATTTAAACTCATTTATAAAGGGTGGAAAGAATCAATTAGAAAAGAAATCTTACAAAACCGAAGAGACAATCATAATATTGAATAGAAATGAAAAACTTATTGAAATACCTGCCGGAAATCTTCAGGATTCGATATATTATAATTCCTTTTCGGATGTTTAACAACAACAGGCAAAATCATTGATAGGCCTTTTCGACGACGATCAATGGTGTCGGTACCATAACCATATTTTTCTTCCCAAGACTCACCCTTACGCTGAATTAAAAGACGAAGAGTTGGTCGTGCTGATTCGAAGGATTTGCGAAAATTCTAAAATTCAATTTAAAAACATTTTTAAATTTGAAATTAAATTTTAAGAAAATTTAATTGTTTCACTTGATATGAATTATTACTTGAATGAAACCATGTAACACAAATCTATTGGAGAATAAATAAACTAACCTCATCATTTGTGATTGGTAACAAATCTCCAGATGAACTTGTATAACACAATGTAAAAGGTATATTATGAAGCGAATGTAAGCCTTCAACAAGAGAACGAAAGTCTATATAAGAAATGATTTTACCATCATGAAAAGGCACTGAAAATCGACGCCATTCAGAATCGAATTTTGATTTGACCTAAAATTTGCTTAATTATAGAACAATATCAAAAAATGAAACGCCTGAAATATCGCTACGAATTAACAAAAAAGAAGACTGAAAAAAGTAAGGAAAAGAAGAAAAAAACCTAATTTCGCATAGAATTATGACTAGTTCCACTATGAATGAAATGCTATACTTCAAATATCAAAATAATGTGCATAAAGAGATTTCACTCCAGATTTATTTTTACAAACAATGCAACTTTTGTAACAATCTTCTTAATAATTCGTCTTCTTTTAATAGCATGCACTGTGAAGTTCCCGTTTATATGACTCCATTGGCTATTAGGACTACATATTCAATCTTATTCCAAGAAATCTTTTATTTTTTAAAATGTTCTTTGATTTAAAACTACCATGGGAAAATATTTTGCAACTGCAAAACATTCACTGCATTAAAAAAATATATAATATAAATATATAATATAATAAATATTTTATTCTAAGACTACTGGATTATTTACAGAGATTAATTAAATTAAAAAAATTCTGATGTTTGCTAATGGAAAAAACCTTCCCAAACTTTTTAATGAACACATTTCATTTGAGGAAAGAAGCATAGGTGGGACCATAATAATAGCCTATATTTTCTTTTTGGTGAGAGGCTTTTTCAACAAATGCTCAGGAATCAAGTCAGTTGCCCAGCCCTTTTTCCCGCGATAAAATATAACAAAAAATAACCTGAATAAAATCGGGGATTGCTAAATTTGGTTGATATGCAAGGATATTGTTATTACGACCATTTGACTATAAAAATTATTTTTATTAGCTTTTGAAAAAAAAAATTAATTTTCCACAAAAGCCAGAATAATTCGACTGAGCAAAGTTGTTAATACTTTTGTTACTTTTTTGAAGTTAAGATTTTTTAATTCAAATTTTTAGAAAATTATTTGAGTTATATTTGTAAATTTTACTATATTTTTATATCTATTTTTAAAATTATATTTTAAAATTTTACTCATATTTCTTATATTTATATTTCTAGTAAATAATTTTCAAAAGTATTTAATTTAATATAGTTATATAGTGACATTTGACGAATTATAAGAAAAGAATTAAAACAAATACCCCACAACTTCGTTGGCCAGATGAAGGTGATGTTGAACTTTGACTAGACGGTGTTCGTCCATCCGATTTCCAAGACATTGCCTAAAAAATAAAATTAACTATATTTCGATTTCAACAATTCTAAAAAAAAATAATTGAATTATTTGCTCAATTCATATATATTTTTCTCTTAATCTCTCGAGAGGTCGAACGGCTTAGTGGATTGTTCTCCCTATGTCGCGGTATCGATGCAGGGGTTCTAAGCGCAAATGCGAACTGATTTTTTAAAAATCAGTATGGTGACCCATCTCTATATTTCTATGGCCGAATGATTTGGCAAAAATTTACCTGGTTCGATAAGTGAGCGGAGCGAACAATTAAAAATGAAAAGTAGGTAATTAAAATATAAAATCAAGATGAAACATCTATTTAAATAAAAACCGCTTTTTGAAAAAATTTTATCAAAAAAACTGCATAAACAAAAACAGACAAATACAAATACAGATTGAAGTTTTGTAGAAAAAGACGAGCATGAAATACCAAAAATTTCACTAATATATGGCATTTCCTAGCATTTACTATATCTATAACTTTTTTCATAGCTCTATGGCATGATTCAAATGAATAGAAAAATAAATACTTTGCAAGAATATCTAACAAATTGACAATGGACCAATTATTACAAAAAAGCAAAAAATAATTTTCAAAAATAATTAAAACTTCTGGCAAAAGGAGATGAATATCATTCCAAATCACTACCTTCTATATTCAGATCATCCAATTCCTGTAAAATACGAATAACTGATTTAAAATAGCAATAATAATATGAAAAGACTAATTATATCCGATCTTTTCCTCTCATAATCTTATATCGATATGAAATTTTCCTGTTATCAACAGCATTTAATCTCAAATCAAACGGTTCTTTGTTAATATGATGGTTAGATATTTTAGAAAACATCAATTTTTATTGTAAAGTTTGCAAGGAATTCAAAAGTTGAACATTATAATACGTCATAATAGAAGAATTCATTAAAGAATATTTATTAGTAAAATAATTCAATAATTTATAATATTTTTTCATCCAAATATGAAAATAAATATTAAGAAATTTGTAAAAATCTTGCCCTTATGAAAAAAAACCCGCAAATCATTATGTCCTCAATTACAAACAAATCACAAATTTTTTCTACTGAAAAAATTGTCATATGCTTCCAAATTTAATTAATTAAATATTTTAAAGACATTTAAATTTAAATTTTGTAATAATTTTATATAATAATTTTAATTTTAAAAGCAAAAAGATTTTGAAACGAAAAAAAGTACAAAAAAAATTATTAAGAAACCTCTTCAAATAATGATTCGTCAATTTCAACATTATTTATTAACTCGATATCAGAATTATTTAATGCAGAATTATTTAAAAATTGTTGACGACCCGTTAATTTACCACCCAACGACATTTTTTCCTGAAAAAATTAATGAGCACGTTTAAAACTATAAAGAATTAATAAAGACCATTGTCACCTCTTAATTAATTAATAAAAAGTTAATTATTAAAGAATTATTGAAAAATTAATAATAATATACCTTCAACTGCCTTTCCTTTAGTGTATTCATTTCCCGATCAAAATTTTCCTTCCACTTCATAAATGTTTCAACTGTCACTTTTGTACCTTCAAAATTTGATAATTTATAATAATTTCCTAAATTCTCTAAAGTGATACTTTTTCGTTAATAAGTCAGTGAAGATGCAAAGAGGTACAGGAGGACTGCCCATTCGAATTTTTTCTTCTTTTCTTCATTTTTTCTTAATAAAATTCCAACAAATAGTAGAAAACTGTTCAAAAAAAAATTTTAATCGCTTGCATTTAACAAGAAAAATTTTCTATATATTAATTTATTATCAATCAAATAATTTAGTTATTTAAATAAGCTATAAAACAATTCAATTCCAAATTAATAGCTAAGAATTTTCGAAAGAATTCTGTTACAAGAAATTTTAAGAAAAAAGGTAACCTTCGAACTTTTTTCTTTCCAATGCCTCTTCTTCTTCCTTTATTTTTTCATCGGCTTGACGCATTTTTACTTTTATATCATCAATCAAATAACCAATTTCATCCTTTAATTCAGTCAATTCAAAAAATTAGATTAAAGCAATAAGATAAATAATAATTAATTAAAACAATAATTTGTTGTAAAAATTTAAAATTATTGAAAACCTGCAATGAAGAAATTATATTAAAAGCCATTGGCATTCCAATATTTTCATTTGCAACAATACATAAATTATTAATAATATTTTTTAACTTTTCTTCTTCAACAAAATTATTCTTTCCATGATTTTCCAGTTCAATTAATGGAATATCATTTGGATAATTCTTTGGAAATTTTAATACTAATAAAATATCGAAAATATCAGAAGTTTCTTCATTCTAAATAATTATATCAAATTTAATTTATCTTTTCGAAACAGGTTTTATCAAAAAATTTTTCTAATCTTTAAGATCCTCTTTAAATTATTAATAATATTTTCAAAAAAATGAAATGCTTGAGTTAAATAAATTAACTAAATAAAAAACAAAGATTATTAAAGCTTTTTACAAGGAATTTTTTTAAAATTCTAACCATATATATTGAATGAAGCAAAGAAAAGAGAAAGGCAAAAAAATGAAAAGAAAGAAAAAGAAAAAGGAATGAGAGGAACGAAAATTATATGGGATGGAAAAAGGAACGAGGAAAATATCAAATTTTAAATTTAAAACGAATAAAATAAAAATAATTGAATGGGCAAATTTGGAAAAAATTCTAAATTCTGAAAAGCCATTAAAAATTGTTTTTGTTTCCATTAATTTTTGCGAATAAATGAAGAAATTAATGAAAATGAGGAATGAGAAAATGAAAAAACAAACCTCATTCGGCCTAAAATAAAAAGAAACATTAATATTTGGATATTCCCTATTTATAATTTTCAATTCATTTGGATAAATCGCTTGAAGCGCTTCCAACTCTTCTAATTGTATTTCATTGTAATCCATAAAATATTCCTTAAAATTTCGAAGAATTAATAAAAATCGAGCGATTCGCTAAACGTAGTTGTTGCTGGCATTTTTAAAATAAGCTCACTTCTAATGGTTTCACTTAAAATAAATGGTTTTGTGATGAAAAAAGTTCGACGAAAGTCGCCTCGCTTATTTCTTTCATTTAACAGACAATAGCGTTGAGCAGAAATGCCAAAAATAACTTCGAAAATTACTTTAAAAAAGACTCATAAATCGGTTAAATTACGGGAAATTCCCATGAGAAAATAAAACTGAAAAACGAAATGATAAAAATTTTTGTAAAGTAAAAATATTTTTGTAAAATATTCGCATTTGTATTAGAAGACTGGCAAAGCAAAATATTTCAGCGATTATTGAAGGAAAGATTTTCAATAAATGAAGCAAATAAATAGCCAAGGAAAGTCTTAAGCAACAAATTTAAAAAACATAATAAGTCCTAAATTAAATAAAATAGCCATCCCTTACGCCAAGTAAGATTAAATGGTGACCGCAAACATCGACTGATTTTTAGGAAGCGAGAGGTCACTAATAGTCAGTCTGCGGCCTGCAACCGCGTTTCGACTGATAAGTAGGATTTCGGATGTTTTCTTGATTTTTGAATCTTTTTGGGAACAAAAGTGTGGATTTACTTTTTTTTTTTTTATTAATTCTTTGTTAAAATATCAGCAATTTTTGATTTTTTTCGTTTTTTGCTTATTTTTCACTTTTCGGAAGCACAACGATTAGTGCTCATTATTTGAAGTTTGTTTGGCTAACTGCATTGGCTGTTAATACGGTGAGGAATTTTCGCCAAAAAGCTATTCGGTGACGAAGCACTTGTGGGCCAGCGGCACTTCCAGTGCGTCCACTGGCCCGGACCAGTGGTGATGCCGAAGAGGACGATTTGTGCAACGACCACTCTCCTTCCCCCTTTTTAATTTATAAAAAAACTCCTAATACTCTTAGAAGAAATGTTTCTTTTGCTATCTTTTTTTCGTTCTTTTTTTACATATATTTTCATATATTTTACATATATATTTTCCTTGCTGAATTTGTTTCATTTTTTATTATTTTATTTTATTATTTTATTTTAAATTGTAAAAAAGTTTATTTTTTTGTCGTATTAAATCCCAAAAAATTTTATAAATTTTGAATATTTTTATTTCGCATTATTGTTTCTTCATAACAAGCGGTTGCTAGCACTGTAAACATTTCATTAAGCGTGTGATGCGATAGCTGCCGGGGATCCATCTGTATGTCCATCATAATTGTCTGACGAGACCTTTTACCTGAATACTACACTCCGGCACACAGTGGTGTTAATCAAATGGTGCGTTTTTTCAGTAGAAGAAGTTCGCCAGTATGGGTTTTACCAGAGTACTGTGTTTAAATTTTCACTGTATTTTTTTAATAGGTTGTAATAAATGGTTTGGCTTTTTGGTCCATCAAAACCTCAAGTGCAAATGGTAGCGGTCGATGATAATCATGATTTATCATCGTCATTAACATCCGATCTAAGCTCTGATAATAATATTTCTCGTTTACCGCAACCAATGATTGCACTCGATGAAATAAAACAATCTGGATTACCTATTCATCAACAAATTGCACCATATTTACAAATGGATCCGAGTGTATTTCAACAAGCAACTCCAGAGTATGTTTTTTTCATGTTTTTAGTAATAATACATTTTAAATAATGGAATAGATAATAGAATTTACAATAGAATTTTTTTACACAAATTTTAAATGTTCCACTTGCCAGGTTTTGTCTTTCAGTTAAAATAAGTTTTTTATTATTGTTGTTAAATATCTTAAATTTTTTAAATAAAAATTCTTCATTGAATAATTATTAAATAATTATTTATTTTTGTTTTTTTATTGTTGTTAAATATCTTAAATTTTTTAAATAAAAGTTCTTCATTGAATAATTATTAAATAATTATTTATTTTTGTTTTTTGTATAAATTTTTAGAAATAAAATAAAATAAATAAAATGAAAATTATATTTTTATTGTAAAAGGTATCATTTTTTTATTTTTATGAATTTTGAAAAAATTTTCTAGTCCTTTTAATGACATTTTTTCTTCTGCCAACAGCACATATTTTTCTGTTTCAATAGCATATTGACTGCCAAATGAAGGTTTGGTGCTTTTGCTGAGGATAACTGAGGAATAGAGATGATAAAAGTGATCATTTTTATTCTCAAAATTTTCAATAGCGAATAAAAAAAAGAATTTTTAAAGGACTTTAGCTAATAGCTAATATTTTTAGATATGTTATGCCAGTTGGAACTACTGGAAAAGGTAAATTTGAATTTGCGCTTGGAAATATTGGATGGGGTGTTATAGGTGGATATAGTTTTGGATGTATGCGTGGATTTTTGCCAGAATTTTTCAATCGTGACACAAAGCAGTTGGTATATCACTTTTGTTTTTGTTTTATTTATATTTTATTCAACAATTAAATTAAATTATTATATTATTTTTTTTATTATGTAAGTTTAAAAGATTTTTGGAGATAAGCCGAGATTTATCATGAGTTTCTTTAGGAAATGCATATAACATATATAGGTTTCTAATAATGTAAATATAGATAAATATATGAATAATATAGATTTCCATTATTTAACAGAAAATTATTTTACAGCGAGGCAAACCGTGGGTAACTCGTATGGTGAATGCAACGGTCAAACATGGGAGTGGATATGCTCAGCCCGCTGGTGCTATTGTTGTTATGTATTCGTTGCTTGAACTTATATTAAGAAAATTAAGAGCAGATGATGATCTCAATTCAATTGGTGAATTTTTTTTCAACAAATATTGCAGAATGATCCTCATTATATTCCGGTTTTTTCATTTTTTTCGTGAAAACGATGATTTATTTCTGTTTATAGATAATTTTCTATTTTTTCTTTATTTTCTTTATTCACCTTTATTAAATATTTATTTGAAATAACTCTAAAATATTGCTTTTTTAAAATATTTTCTTTAAATATTGTTAAATATTTAAATATTTTTTCTTTTTGTCTAGTTTTTATAATCAACTAAAAAACTAAATTATTACATACTAAATTATTGATATTTATATTTAAATTAATATTTATTATTATTGTCAAATTGTTATTTCTTATATTTTCTGTTTTTTATTTTATTATTATCATCAATTTGTTATTTCTTTATGAAATTTTTTTGTTGCTATTTTTACTTTTGCTTTTGTAATTATTACAGCTGCTGGTGGATTGACGGGAGCGATTTATCGCTCGCCATATGGTTTACGTGCTTCAGCAGTTGGTTCGATTTTTGGTTTTGCGATTGCTACTTTATGGGTTCTTGCGCAAACGGATAGTCGACAGAGAATCACCGAAATGTTACGAATACGAAATAGATATTCATTGTAATTTTTGAAACTTAATGCGCTACTATACTTTTCATCGCTTTAGTATAGTAAAATGTTTTCTTAGCAGATTTAATTTAAATTAAATTTTCAAATTCAAACTTATTCACATTTTTATTTGAATTACGAATGTTTGTTATTTTTATTCTTTTTTTTAAAGTTTTATTTTATAATTTGTATTTTTATTTGTGTATAAATGTATCAGATTTTTAAGTTTTTAGAAATAAAGCAGATTCGATTTGCAATGAAAGATTTGCTAAATGCAACAGAAAAGCAAAGTTTTGTGAATTTATTTAAAATAATTTTAAATAATAAAAAATAAAATGTGAATCCATAGCAGTTGAAAACCTTAAAATTTTTTTAAAATTAAAATTAATTCATTCGATTTAAATGATTAATTTCCTCTTTAAATTTTATCGAAAATCGTCAATTTTTTTCGCAAATTTTTTTCGGTCGAATTTTCGCTTCTATTCTTTCGTTATATTTTATAATAAAGTGGTCGAATAGTTCAAATGAGAAACGAAGCGAAGTAATTATTTTTAATTGTTCGATTCATTTTTACTGACAAATGGCATTGGTGTTTTTGTTTCGTAAACGATTTCAATTTACTTTTATTGTGTTGAAAGATTGGATAATAAATTGCGTGGCAGTGGTTTACTGTTTGCCATTTTAGTTCAGAGCAAAACGATTTGTCGACTAAACTAACTCAAACATCAGAGATCGACGATTCGCGAAGCAAAAGGGTAAATGAAAGTGGCCGGTAAGACGAGTCTCATTTCTATATTTTCGACGTTTTACCAACTTCGAACATTTTCCAGCATTTCCAGTCGGGTTGGCTCAGATATTCATTCGGAGATTAATCGAGTAGAAGAAAAAAGAATAAAGCGGTGAAAGCCATTTGGGTTCGGTTTGGGTAATGAAGGCTTGTCCACTCAGAAGGACTGGCTGCGTCGCCAACTTGTTGAAACTCGCTGTTTTCTCCGAAATTGCCATATTTTATGAAAAACCTTTCCTTTTCATTAATATTGTTAAAAATGAGTTCTTTTTCCGTATCCACTGGTGACAGTTTCTTTTAATTATAAAACAATTTCTTTCTACTTGCGACTGCCAATTCTAATCTCTTAAAAACCATCAATTTCCACTGTCTTCCCTTCAGAATGCCCATTAAACTTCGCAATACATTTTCCCCACTTTTGCAAATTATAAAGTCGCAATGAGTAACAACCGTGGTGAATGGTTTTATGGGATATTAAGGGAATATAAAAGGGTTAGAATGATAGAGATTTAGTGAAAAAGCAAATGATGATGAGATTGGATGTGTTGGAGTTTTGAGGGCATGAGGGCTATATTCGGCTACCCTTCCGTGGGGCAGGTGTTTTTTAAACACTTGTCAAATTGTCTCCTCAGATTCATTAAATGAACTGCACAAAGATTTATTTTCCATAAAGTAGCTAAATTTAGAATCATTCGCTTTTTTTGTGATCTTGAAAAATCTCAGCCAGCTCGAGCTCAACTTCTTCTCTACAACCACAGCGATCGATTCTTTCGGTTCAAAATCAAAGGCTCATCTGGATTTGATATAACTGTAAGTTTTGCTTCCATTCGTTTATTCAGCCGAAATTGAATTAATTCATTAGAAATAGCGAGAAACGTTTAAGAATGGAACTAAAACTGCTAATGGAATATTAAATCAACAGTTTCCATACTATTAGCAACTTCGATATTTTATGAAAATATGAAAAGACCGAAAGGCCAAATGGAAATGCCAAAAAACGTCTTCTTTGCCTTGGAACTTGTGCTCTGCAACTTCTTTTCCTTCCTGAAATCCCCGTCGTTTCGAAGCGTACAATTACGCGTGCAACAAGAATCATGGATAAGTAAAACATATTAGAAGCCATATGCAAATATTACGAAATGAGCCACAAAATTACGAAATTATGTGACAAACCATATAAATAAGTTCTCTATTTATTTACCACAATTCTCAATAAATAGGTTTTCAAGATTGCCTTTTCAATAAATGTTTGATTTACTAAATTTTCTAATGGGAGAAAACGCTTTAGAAATTAATTAGACAAAGGAAAAATTAACTGAAAATCGTAGTTTTGGCTAATTTATTAGCTAATAGAAGGGGAAAAAAGTAGGAATTTGTAGTAAAAAAGTTATATTCAAATTCACATAGGCGCTGCCAAGCGGAAAAGGTGTTATAGAACCGAAAAATTGCAAGAATATATTGTTGATCTGGTACAATCCTGGCGCTGGTACCATTAAAAGACAACCAAAATTAATTATATCGACTGAATTCGATTTGGTTAAAGGCGGTGAGAAAACTAAATCAGCCAACAAAATCCGTCTTTCAGGTTTTTTCTTAGGATTATTCTTAAAATTTTTATGAGAAGTTATTTATTTTTCAAGGACCATCACTGGTTGGGTCGACTGAATTGGCTACGAGAATGGTGCATTTCGAAGTGGGGTCAGGCGGAACTTTAGTAAAATTCCTCGGATTCGCCTTTTAGCCAAAAATTTTCTGCTCGAATCCGGGAACATCTTGGAAAATAACGACTGTTAATGTTGGAAATAATAATGGCGAAGCTTCTATAAATGAAAATTTGAAAATGAAATGGGCGATTTTTTCTTTTTCGTTTTTTCTTTCGAATTTATGCCAGTAACTCGTAATTTCTTCAGTAAATCTCTTCGAAGATAAATTGTTCACTGAAAAAAATCTTCCCATTGAGCTTTTGAACTTGGCCGTCGACGGCTGTTCAGTTGAAGATGAGCAAATAAATAATTTCGCATCGATTCTAAGGAAAAAGTATATTTTTGCTTATATTTTTGCATAGAAAATACATATTTGCACTCGTAATTTAAATATTTTTACTTATTCATTCAATTTGGCTGTGATCTATTTTTAAAATAATTTACAAAAAGCTGGCAAAGTGGCTTTAATGTGGCTTCTACTTTTCTTGTTTTTTTCATTCAGAAAACATTAGTTCAACGATTGAAATGGGAGGGGGAGGGTGGCGTACTTTAGGCATCGTGGCTTTAATCCCCTATTTCCTGACCGAACTAAAATTATTAGCGTTAAAAGCGAAATCGGCTTTGAACCTACCTTCCGTTCCCTGAAAACTTTTTGTAGGGTCTAATTTTATAATCAATAAAGCCAAAACCAGAAACGGTAGATGCTATCAAAAGAATTCCTTTTTTTTTAAGTGCACCCACCATTGCTGATTAGGCTCGCTCTGCTGGCTTATTGGACTAGACAAATATGCCAAGGAATCCACTGGCGACAGAAGTACAGATTCGCCAACATTATCCGGATTTTTGCACAGGTTTACTCCCTCCGGAAGTAGGATTTCAGCATCGATACCCACTGAGCCATTCTACTGTCCTTCGCTTTCTTCGTTAGGCGATACTTCCGTAATTTTTTTTGCCACAAAATATTATAAATTCAATCTATCAAGAGGAATTATTTTAAATATAAAAAACAGTTTCATTCCAGTTTTGTGGAAAAAATGAAGGAAATTGGAACAGAAATTGAAAGAGAGTTTATAATGAATGAAAGAGTGTTGCCAAAGTTCACGACTACTCCATCACTTATTGCCATTCTAATTGCTTTATTAATTCTTACAAATATCTATTTAATTGCAAATAAATATTTGTAAATATTTATTGCATTTAATAAATATTCTATTTTATCAAATTAAAATTTATGCGATAAAATATTTAAAATTTTACGAAATAATAAAATTAATTTTGTTTGTAGAATTTTTTAAATATTTGAAATTTTATTTCTACTAAGGGCATGCAATATGAATTTGGATTTGGTTCCTCCTTGTGGATTTCAAACTGTCATGCGATATAAAGGTGGGTGCATGAACTCACAACTATCCACAATTAATTACTTGATCGCCATTTACTAATATTATTTTTGCGCCATAAGTTCATGGATTTCAGGAATAAATTACTCACGGCATTATTTATGTTAGCAAAAAGCGTCGTCAATCTATTTTCGCCATTACAATAATTCCTTTATACTTTATATTTTAGTTGATATGCGGCAAACGCGTTGATATTTACAGATGAAAACAGTAATTTCTCGTAAAAATTTCGCATAATTTCCTTCTATAAATTTGCAAAATTGGTTTCGCTTTATTTAAAATTATTAAAAAATTGGCATTAAATTGTACCAGTAATAGTCAGTGATTATACATATCGATAATCAATAGTTATTATTGATAATCATTTTTGATCATAGATAAGCCTTTGTTTCCTGCTAATTTATTTCGTGATATTTCTCCTCAAAATGTGACGAAATGAATTGTTTTGTTATTTTAAAATTTTCCTTTCCTTTTCCATCCTTTTTTTTTAATTTTTAAATTTACACGATTTCGTTGGAAAAAATCATTGAAAAGAACTTAAATCTGAATTGTTTAATCTAAATTTAAACAATTTTATGTAAATATTAGTTTTATACATAAAATGCTATTTTCTATTTTCTAAAGATTTGTGCTTTCCATTTAAAATTCTTTTATTATTTTTCAATTTTCCAATGTTTTTCTATTATTTCTATTCCCAGCAAAGTTTCATTATATTTATTTTTTATTTATTTTTAAAATGGAAAAGAAGGAAAACTTACTGGCTGCTACGAAGTAAAATGCTAATTTTTTAATGAAATTTGACTTTGTGAACGCCTAAGGCACTTTTTTATTTTACAAAGAGAAATATGACCGCTTCGCTATTTTCTGAAACTTATGACGCCACGATTGCTATAAAATTAATTATATAATTTTCAGTATTTTTATTTTTTTTTGCCCAAATTCAGACCAATGAAAAAATTTAAAGATTGGTGATAAGGAAGGTATCAAATGTTTCTCCTTCTCAGTTCATAGAATAAAGTCGTCCGTTTCATTAATATTGAACCACCCTAATGAAGAAGTGAAGAAAATTCAGTTCATCCAAATAGTTACTAAATATTTTCCTTGTGCAAATTATTTTTTGAAATTATTAAATTTCATTCTTTTTTTAAAATATTTTGAGGAAAATATTATAGTTTGCATAACGAAGAGATTTAATGTATAATGCTAATAATATTAGTGAAAAAATTTTCTTCTTTTTTTCGAATAATTATTTCTTTGTTTGCCTCCGAATTGTTATTGTTTTTCTTATTGTAGGCCATTAGGTCGAATCGCATGGCCAATTTGTTGCGCTTGCTTCGTAAATGAATAATTTCAACATTCGCTATTTCAGATATTATTTGTAATGGATGATGATATAGTGGATTTTTTGGTTGTATTTGCAGTATCTGCTTGTGCCTTGTGCAGCCTTTTATATCTTATTATCAAGGTAATGTTTTCATTTCCACATTTTTCCTAAATATTTTCTCACCATTAGTTAGGCTCGTGACGCTGGCTTGTCGTACTAGTCAGATATGCCACAGACAGATATATTCCTTGGCCATAAAAATATAGGTGCATGGCCCAGATTTTTAGACGAGCTCACTCCAACCGAGAATAGAACCTCAACTTCGGCATTGCAATAATCCA